CGCACGCGAGATGTGCGTGTTTGAAGTTTGCTTTTGATAAATGAATGGATTTTCAAAGGCGACGTTAATGAAATACGCACACAGGCACAATCACGAGCAAGGATGCCAGACGCCGAAGGATTCTTTAGCACCAGGAAGTATGTGTGCGTGTGTGTGTGTGTGTGTGCTTGTGCCCCCCTCCCTCCTCGCCGTACATCCCTCAATCTATCAAACTCACGTGTCCGTCGTGTCTCAATTTACTTGCTTAGTTGCTGTTCAACTTGCGCCGCTTTTGCTCCTTTTACGGACACTGAAACCGAAACCGAAGCGGTTGCCCGACATTTTGATAGAGTCCGTTTTGGCATGTTTATGAAGTCCTGGCGGTGAAAGGACCCCCAAGGACCTGCGAAGCTCCGAGCAGGATTAGTACCAGCGAGCGAAAGTAGATTATAAAAACCGAAAGCTTTGCAAATACAATGTAGATGTCTGAAAATGTATGCGGGTTCGATTTGTATTGCTTATTCAACATTTCTCACAATTCCTAATTGTACACTAGCAATAGGGATTGACACTAATATTAAACAAAACCATAAATTACACCTGCTGAAATTAATTTGATTAAAAAAGAATAGTTTAGTGATACTATGTAATAATTGTATAAATAATATAATATAAATTTAATTAAACAGGCCCAAAGGTGTATAATCATTGCCAAAACTATTACACTTACACTTACTTAATTGCATTACAATTAAATTCAATATATACCAAGCTGAAAATTGGAAAATAAAAATTAATTTCGAATTCGACTTCCAAACAGAAAATGTACTTGCAAAATGGACAAATATATGAGACTTAAGCATGTCTAATTTGCTTCAGTCCTGCTTATTTTTAGCTTAAAAGTTGAGTTTCAAAAATGTAATTCATATCGACAGTAGTGCAGGTAAACAAGTGCAAATACCTCGACAATCGCCTAATGATTTTCCCCGTTGCGTGGGTGAAAGTGTGCCAAATCGTTGTCAAGGCAAAGGAGCCAAAAGCAGAAGCAAACGCATTAAAAGCAACTTAATAATTCAGATCCAAATCACCAATCAGCGCTGCCGACATGTTGACAAACGATGCCGCCGACACCACCATCTTGCCATCTTGCCATCTTACCACACACCGACTTCAGTTCGGGAAAAGCCGGGAAAAAGGAAAAGCCGGGAAAAGCCAGGAGCGGGAGGCAAGCACCATCGACAGCGACGACGACAAGAGATTTACATTTTCAAAATCGAATGGCGGCATAAGCCACCGCAAAGCAAAAGACACGCAACCACAGCCATAATGAAATCCACGATAAACAAGATAAACGAACACAAAAAGAAGAGTCACAGACAAACAATGCCATACGTGGAAAATATAACGAATCGCGAGAGACCCTTTTTGCCAAAGACAACTTTAAGTTGATCACCAAAATATATTAGTAACTCCCCATTAAAAAGTTAAAGCACCAAATGATTACTTTTTTAAATTAAAAACACATTTATTGGCTTAAATTGCACATATTTTATCTTGGCTACAGAGTTTCTATTTCTTGCTGGGTTGAAATCAGATTATTTCCCAATGAATAACTTAATTAACGAGCATAAATAAATATAAAGTAATTTTAAAACATAACAGAATATGATTAAGTTAAGAGATAATTGGATTTACTTGTTTTCAAACGTTTTTATTACTTATACTATTTAAAATACATTAAAACTGATTTTGGACCTCAAACATTATATTTTAGAGCTCATTTTCTTTGAGTATTTTTATAACAATATAAGAAATAAGAACCACTCATCTTAAGAATTTTAATTATTAAGTATTATTTTTTTATAATTATTTATTCCGTTACTCACCTTTAAGTGCCATTTCACATCATGTTTATTTAGGGTTCCAAAAATATTTAAAAAGTAAAATATCAGTGGTTATCGGCTCTCCCAGATTAATTATATATTCAGAACAAACCTATGCATTGAGTTTGAAGTGCTGGTACTTCCCAATAAATAACCTTTTTTTGCCATGAATCACATCTTGATAATAAGCTTAAGATAAGATAAGATTGATCCCTTTTTTATGCTCACACTCGTTTGGTAAATAAAAAAGCATGCCGAGTGAAAGGGTATTCGCTTACAAAAAATAAACCAGCGAGCAACAGCCAGCTGCCTTGGCGACGATGGCTAAAATATTTATATCTATTTCAGCTTGGCCGCTTTGTACAATTTCTATTTTGCCACACGACACGAATCCCCAACCACTAGCCAGCAAACACCAAACACCAAACACCGAACGGCAACCACCAGACACCCAATTCCTCGCAACACCCACATCTACTTGCCGATGTCTTCGTTTGCAATCAATGAAAGATTTATGACAGTACAGCCATGGAGTTGGGGTGCTCGAACACACTGTACTGGGGAACTTGTTTTTATGTCACATCATTATTTTTGTTATGGCGCTGCCACTGGCCTGTTATTCGAGAGTGATTAGTGGGCTTAAAATGACTACAATAACATCGTTGTGGACCCAACAGAGTGGACCTAAAATGAATAAAATCCATGGCATTTGGCCCTTTTGATATTCACTATACACATTGCTTTCATAATTTTCATTTGCACATTGAGCATTTTGTCTTTAAACATAAAATGCCATTTAAAATGTTAATGTTAACTGTATTTAATGATGATAGATGAGCTTCAGAGAAAGGATTTTCAAAACGGCTTTTGATTTATTCAGATTTGAATTTTCTTTCACAAATTTGAACATGTCTATTTATAAATACCCCTTATATTATTTATTTTCAAGAAAAAATTTGAGATCCGATATCTGCCGGATGCACACAAGAAACAAAAAAAACCTTGAACATTGCTAATTTATAACTCATACGCAGTGTTGCCTTGGCTTTTATAATAAAAAAACAAGGTACATTTAAACAATTAATTATTTTATAATTAATTAATTTATATTTGTTTATAAATTTATAAACAATAACTTTATTACATGTCTTAATAACATATTTTAAGTAAAGCATCCTGCAGTTGGTTCACCCGCGGATACAATAAACAAATCTATACCATAATGAGCGATGGCTGGGGATAAGAATATGCTGGGAATATTGGGTTACCTCGCTCGTCTATAACTGAAATGGATTGGAGTCAGAGGCAGAGCCGTGCTCCTGTGGACTTGGATTTGGTTCCGACTCGGCTCTTCCGGTGGATCGCAATCGATCAATTCAATTAGCAATCCGAGCAACGATGTCAGGGGTTTGAGGGGTGTACACATTTGCTCCTTTCGGAAGCTGCAGTCGATGTATGTGGAAACTCTCAGTGCGTGTAAAATGTCTCCTTCAGTATGGGTGTGTTTTTGAAGTGTTGGGTGTGTTGGGTGTGTTACAAGGACAACGCCAACAACAACAACAACAACAACAGCGAGAGGAAAGAGTTGGACAACAATGAAATGCTTTTAGCCTGCGAAACTGCCAACTGAACAGCGTCAAACGAAATTAAGTTAACAACAAAGTGAGGCAGCGAGGAAAAAGTTTTGTGCACTGTTTTTATTGAAAATTGAGTTAAAAAACTGAAAGTGTCGACGGGGTCGACATCATAGCCGTTGTCGTATGTGTATAACGCATGTTGTCCGCATGTCCTGGATGCCAGAAATCCCGTAGCCCCGCCCACATGTCCCGCCCTCAAAAGTAGGCAACACTATTAGCCAACTCATCGCCCTTTTGGCCAAAGTCAATGGAGTGCGCCTTTCAATGATCTGCAACTTGTGACCAGTTATGTTATGTAGTACAATGCAGTAGATGGCAAGAATGTTAGTCAAATATAACATGGATGGTCATGGAAATATGTACGTTTATTGGTTTCATCCACAGTTCCACAGTCTTCTTTCGAAATAAATAAACAGTTTCAGTAAACTAGAAAAAAAAATAAACAGTTTATATAAAATCAATACTTTTGTTGAGATGTTTAAAGTAAATTAAGCAACAAATATATTTGCAGACCATCAAAGCTCCATAAATAGCAGAGTGTAAGTGTAAGTGCAATATTATAACCGCATTATCGTCCATTAATTTATGTCCTTTTGTTTTACCCATGGATTAAATGAGTGGTGGTATCCCGCCTCGGATTCCCGAAGATCCTCCCCTTTTCGAAAAGTTTCGAGACAATGGAATGCCAATAAAAGTTGGGTAGACAGACAAGGACATTGCGAAAAGGATGCTGAAATCAGAGCAGATCAATGCACGCACGCACACACGCACACACGCACAGCACAGCCATGTAGGTGGGTGTGTGTGTGTGTGCGCATAAAATTTATGAATTATTGAATCTATGAAAATATGAACATCACGTACGCCCCCTCTCGCTCCCTCCGCCGCCAAACTATCGGAGACAGACGGAGACGGAAGACAATCGCACAGGACGAACTTACAGTTATGCAGAAAAACAGACGTGGAGGCGGGTGGGCGTGGTCGTGGTTGTGCGTGTGCTGGAATATGCACAGAATTTCATTAAGCCGCCTTCGTTCGATGTTTTCATACCCTGCCAAATGGGCATTACGATTTACGAATCACATTTACTAGGCCTTCAGTTTGCAATCTTGGCCTTCAGTTTGCAATCTTAGCCAAATTGTATTTTTAATTTTCACTCAATTCATGAAAGATATAAAGGCTGTTATTCCAATGCTCTATTTAAATTTTTATTTTATAATCCCTTCTAATTTAATGTATAAATTTGATCCATTATCTAGAAAACAGAGCTAGAGCATTCCACACTTCGACTAACAGAACTAACCATCCTTTCCGGTTATAAATAAGTTTGCGACCGCATTTGTTGTTTGCCAAAGTTTGTTCATCTGTTTGGACGTGTTTGTCGATGGCTTAGACCCCCAGACCTGAAGAGCGGGATTAACACAACCTCCCAGATCCATAAACTTTTCTAATAATTTCTTTCCGATGAGTTCCATTTACAAAGAGAAAAAAAATTGAGAAATTTGTTTAGATTTTTTGTTTATTTGTTCAACAAATATATACAAATATATTTGATCATTGGGGAACGATGCAACCTACAAGTCCAGCAGGACCGGTACCATCCCTAACTAATTCCCTGACGTCTGGAAATAAACAAGTCGTTATTCGATCAATAATTCTGGAAAATATGAATTATAACTTACACTTAAGCCCCATTCTTAAAGAGCTATACCTAAAACTAATACATTAAAACATTAATGTTCAACAAATATATACAAATATATTTGGTCATTGGGGAACGATGCAAACTACAAGTCCAGAAGGACCGGTACCATCCCTAACTAATTCCCTGACGTCTGGAAATAAACAAGTAGTTATTCGATCAATAATGCTGGAAAATATGAATTACAACTTACACTTAAGCCCCATTCTTAAAGAGCTATACCTAAAACTAATACATTAAAACATTAATTGATCTTCCATATGTTCAAACCCGGCTAGGTGTTTACTGTCAGCTGGCGGACATCACCTAAATCCTGGTTTCCCCATGTGCTTCATCAATTCGAATGTCTTGTCTGGGGGTTAAAAGTTCATTCGGTGGGAGGAATAAGGATGTGTTAAGGACTCACCAGATGCTCCTCAGTTCCGTCGAAAACCGAGAGCAAGGCCATTGCTTTTCGTCGTCATAAAAAGCAGTGGCAAGTGTATATTAGCAGCGGTGCTGAATACCACTAGCAAGTGTACCTATAAAATTCTGTAAGAAAAAATTGTTTCACTTTTTTTATGTGGATTTTTTTTTTTTGATTTCTAGCTTACCCGTCTTTTTACATTTAATTTTGATAATTTTCGAATTATTTATTTCCAAAATGAGTTGTGCTCCAGACGAGCTCCGGGAACAAACTGAATGTATTCGGGTTTGGGCCTGGCTACTTGCTTTTGACAGGTGCGTTTGTTCGATGACAATAGTTTCAAGGCTATAGTGGTTTAATAAATCTGAAAAAATTGGAGTTGGCCATGCCGAAGTCCAATTTAAGATTGTTTTTAAAGGAATACAACCAAATAAAGTTATTAAAGCTATTTTTTCGATTCCTGTGTTTATAATACGCGATCGTACAATAACAATAATTCTGACTTGACTTCAATCTGGTGCTGTATATATATATTTGGTAAAAGCTAACAAAATAAGTTAATTCATTTGTAAATATATGTTTGAATAAAGTTATTATTATAATATCGATAAGAAAAACGGAAAGATAAATTTTAAAAAAGCCCAACAACTACTTATTATATTTTTTATTTAAAAAACATAATGTCTGTTTTCTCTGGACAACTAAATCAGTAAATAGATCTGCTGATTTCAGGACTTGGGGACTCAAGTGGGGTCCTTAAATGGATTTAAGTGGCAGTACTGTGGCACACGTGGCATGTCCTTCACCCGATTGTCCACTAATGCGAATTGCAAACGGATAACTACGAGTATGAATTATGCACATTTACTTGCGATGTGTTCCGTTTCACTTTGAGATGCACAAGCCGGCTAACCAAGCATCTTGTCGTGCTCTTTGAACTCGACCTCCCCTCCCCCAATGGTCCTCTCTTTCACCCCCCTATATATCCGTCTCTTTCGCCAACTGTCGCCCCATCTCCCTCTGATGTTATCCGCTGTGCGTGTTTGCATTTTGTGCGTGGCGCTGAGCGCTTCCTTTGCGTCCTCGCACAATTGAGATCACCAAAATAGTAGTAGTTAAATAATAAATAAAATAAAATTCAAATTCTTAATATAACATTTTAATCCTATTTATTTTCTCTTAGTCATTTTACAGAATATTAGGGCTTAAAAAAAACAGATTAATATGAACGCTTTAAATACTAAAAGAAAGTAACTAGATATAAATGAAAGTAAAGCTCATTCAGAAAAAAAGTTCACAACATTTTTCAAAAAAGTATATTCGCATGTTTCAGATTGAAGAATGTATATAAGCAGGAAATTAAATTACCAGGAAATTATTATAAACAAAAAAGTATTTAATATTAAAATATGACTGTTCAATCTTAATAGGTTTAAATCCAGTTTGCATTTTAATATTTATCTAAGATCTATTTACTTGACCTGCACAGTGTATCCGTAATCCATTTAATTCAACCAAGCGACCATGCCAGATGTGTGTGTGTATGTGTGCCTTTGGCATTATCAACTCATAAATATTTATTGAATTTTAAGAAATTTTCAAAAATGGCTACAGCAGTAGCCACACGAGGAGCAGCCAAGGAGCAGCAGGAACTCAATCTGCGGGGCAGCCGATGACTTGTTGTCCTGCCAGCGTATCCGTCATCGATTTCGATTGCCTCGCTCCGCTTCGCCGGCTTCTTAGCCTTCCAGTCAGGAAAACCACAATCCCCCACTTCACTCCGGTGATTCCCCTTTTTCAGATCCCCAAGTTCGGTCGCCACATCCCTTTGCATTCTCTTATTTGGATTATAATTTTTTCCATTTCACATGTGAGTGCATTCCTCCTTGGTGGTCATCACATCCTCCGCAGTCGCTTGGTCACTTGTCAATTTCCATTTTCATTTTCATTTCGGCGGTGGAAGATGCGGAGATGGTCCTCGAATCGTGTAATCTCAGCTGAAGCGGCGAAGAGGAAATGGCTGGAGTGGAAGAGTTAGACAAGGTCATCGATTCAAGGGGCTAATGGAATTCAACTTTATTCAAATTGAAATACAATTGGATAAACAATTTCGCTGTTTTTTTTTACAGATACAAAAAAGATTTAAAAACATTACAAAATCAGTGGATTTGAAAAAAGTACTTTGTCGAACTTTAGGGTTTTTCTTTAAGTAATTAAAGGCCCTGAAAAAATGTAATAAGCTTAAACTACAACTGACGTTTAAGTTATATAAAAAACTAAATAAATAATTAACTAAAGTTGCTGTAAATATAAAAAAATGTATCCCCTTGATTGGAAATTAATTCAAACTCAACTTTAGATTTGATGTAACCAATTTCAATTCAACTGATATTGTCACTTATTCTTGGAATTTTATTAAAAAGGCTTTTTATTTCACTTCTTTGATTTTACTGAAATGAAATGTTTTTATTTTATAATGTTTACATTTTGTGTAGCCTTGTAACTCATCAGGCCAGTTGCCATTCCGATTTTACCTTTTCCAATGGAAACTATTAATTGACTTCGGAGAGGAAGCTTTATCGATTTGAAACCCAGTTTCTCGTCCACTTCGAAGTATAATTCAGTTTAATATTCTTTGACTTGATTTCCCAGGAACTCAATCATTTCCATTTGGCAGCATGGACGAGTTGAGAGTTCACAAGCAAATGCAATTTGGAGGCGATGCATCTGGGAGTCATCGGTTACGGGGCTCACCTGTGACCCCTTAACCCCACTGCGCCCCATCAGGGCATCCTCGACCCCCCTCGATAGTCCCTCCATTCCACAGAGTGTCCTGGTCAAGCGGAGCTTTTCCAATTTTAATCGCATTAAATAGTCACTTAAGCGCCAGCTCTCCTCCTTTTCCAACCATTTGGAACCACTGAGATTCAAAAACACCCCATTGCCCCATGCAAAATTAACTTGTTGATGTGGCAACGACGACGAGCCCGAAACAACTGACAGGAAAAGCGGTAAGCGGGAAAATCGAGTGGGTAGGAAAGGGGGGAGGAAAGGGTTCAATGGGAAAATGGGAAAATGGGGGAGTGGAGGGGCCACCACGTTCAATGGGATTTTGAAAATCGCTCCGTGTTCGAATCTTATTAGTGGTTTATAATTACAATTGTATACAGACCAATTACGTTACGAGATGAGTAACTGAAGCGGAGGGAGTGGCTAATCAGGTATGTGTATCTGTGTAACGGGAATGGCCGTTAAGTGCCCGAGTATGCACTCAAAAAAACTAATAGTTCCACTACAAAAATTCTGATTTGATTAAATAAATTGTATCGTTTAAAAAGAACCTTTGATTTACTCTGTAAATGAGTTTGTGCCATTATTCCTAGATACATTAATGTAGATTTTTTATACTTTACTGCATTTAAGTAGATATTAAAAAAGAATATTTCCAAATATTTATTCCCTTTCAACATTTAAGATTATTTATTTTGGCAACTTGTTGAGCTAAGGCCTAAATAAGCAAACGCAATTAGTTCGTAATTCGGAACCTACTTCCATGTTTTAAATTTCATTTAATTGTAGGTATGTACTATATATAAGATATAATATAATATTTTCTATTCGCACCCCTTTTTTCGAGTGCTCGCGTGAGTAAGTGTGTAAACAGGAAGTCCAAGTATCCCGATAATGATGTTCATTTCGTAAGCAAATGTCATAACACACCCACACACCCACTCGCACATTTATGTAAATATCGACTGAAATTTATGCATATGTATTTGTGTGGCTCAGAAGACAAAGAGCATCCCCCCCAAGCTCCTCCTTACCCACAAGACCCCCCACTCCCCCCCCCCCTCGTGTTCAAGTGCGCACATGCTTTGTAATTGAATCCACGTCTGAAATCTGTCTGTGGTCGATAATTTCATTTGGGTCTCCATTTTGAATACAAATTTATCGCAGTTCAAGCCTCGTGACACGTCCCAAGCAACCGCATCACGACATACCGATATTCGGTGCCACGCCCCCACCCTTCTGCCGCCCCGTGAATGGGATTGAAATATTTGTCGGATTGCCCATCAATTTCTGGGCACCATCTTCGGACTGGCACTACTAATTGGAATAGTTGGTTGCGGCAAGTATGCCCATGCAGCGCGCAACTGGATGGATAATGTGTGTGCGACTGCCTACACTCGCAGAAATAATTCTTACCCCCTCGCCTGCCATCGAGTGATTTGAATTTAATGATTTCTGCTTCTTTTCAATCCAGAAAATAGTTTCGAATTCCAACACTATGCTTTCTAAACCATAAATGTGGATTTTAAAGGTCCGCAGCAAGCCAGGAAAAATGTATTTATAATATCAGTAATCAGGAGTAAAGTTTGATGATTGGTTTATTTTTTTTTAACAATAATTAATTAAAAACCGATGCAAACTACTCGTCCAGCGGGACCGGTACCATCGGTTTGACTGTGGAAAGAAAGAAAGACATTCGATCATTAATGGCAAAGAATATGTATCACAACTTACACATAGGTTAACTTCTATAAGGCGAATCCTAACTTGATTATATAAAATGATCTTCAATATGCTCTAACATGGCTAGGCATTGGCTGTCAGCTGGTGAACACCGACTATCCCCTCTGTGTTGTAAACAATTTGTATGTCTTCTCTGTGGGTTAAATGGTAAGGATAATATGAAGAGCGAGGATAGGATTAAGGACTCACCATTTGCCCCGTCAGTTTTGTTGAAAAACAAGTGCAAGTCCATTATTTGCCATCGTCGAAAAAGCAATGTCAAGTGTAGTAGTGTGTAGTAGTGATAAGTGTTCCAATAAAATTCTGTAGGAAAAAAATAGTTTTAATTTTTTTTTAATATATTTTTTTTGTAGATTTCTAGCTCACCGGTCGCTTTACTTATAATTTTGTTACTTTTTGATATATTTAGTTCCGAAACGAGTTGTGCTCCAGACGAGCTCTGGTGGCAAACTGAATGTATTCCGGATTGGGCCTGGCTACTTGCTTTTGACAGGTGCGTTTGTTCGATGACACTAGTTTCAGGTCTACTGTGTTTGAAAAAACTAAGTTAAATCGCAGTTGGCTCTGGCAAAACTACTGAAAGCCGTTGGATTTTGTAACAGTTTGAAATCGTATTCCATTGGACGTAACAAGTCACATTAAAATTGAAAAATCACAATTAAGTAAGACCGGAAATCGGAATAATTTGGATAGGCACCATGGCTAGTATTACCTTCAAGAATCGACCCACGCAGGTGTTGCACACCTACCAGGTGTGGCGCATTGGCAGCAATGTGGACGACAAGAGTCTCGACTACTGTCTGGCCGACAAGGTGAGTTTGCTGAGTCGCTGATGAGCCCCATTGATCGATTCCCATGCCCCAAAGTCGCTGGACAAATTCCATGCCAGCCTGACCCGCGGCGAGAAGGGTCTGTTCCTGGTCAACGAGAGTCGCCACGGCAGTGTGGCCGTGAATGGAGAGCGAGTAGGAGGTCCCGTGTTCATCACCTACCGCGATGCCATCAACGGCATTGTCAAGCTCCGATTTGGCCGTGTCGAGGGTTATCTTCGGGTTTCGGGCAGCCTTACTGGCTAGCACTCATATCAGTCATTCTTTCGCTATGTCACTTTTTAAATCGTTCGTTTCGTTTATACCAAGATGTACATTTTCACGGGTAACCCATCACCAAATTTGTATGCTTATTATAAATGTATAGACTATTTCATTGCATTTCTATGTTTTCTTTTGGGTTTCTTATGTATTTATAAGTTGTTATAACTTTGCTATTACATGATATGTAAGTATTAAAAAAATTTGCAAAAATAATTTTGTTTTTCAAATTGGTTTATGTTAATTTTATTAAATTGGATCTATATCGACTAGGCTGATCAATTATTTATAAAGCAATATCAAAACAAACTTGTGAAACAATTAACTTTTTAATGAATTCATAAAAATATTAAACGTTGAGTTTACGCGTCTATATATAAATAATATTTGTATAAATCTTTCATGCCTAAATATCTTACTTTTTCTAAGTCTTATAAAAACTCCGAATATTTCAGAAACTTTTTGAACAGCTATAATTTAGCCATAAAATCCTCGACCTCGTTGGTCGGAAGAGAAAACGAAAAGAGAAAAATAAGAGAAAATCGACGAAAGAGTGTTCGGAAAATGGATATTGATTGTTGCGTTACACGAAATTGACGCTAATCAAATGCTCCTGTGATTTATGGCAAGCTACTCTTATACGCTTTGGTTGGAGTCCCAACTAATAGGATTTTCTCAGAGCAAATTAAGATATTTAAAACTTACATCCAAAAAAAAACAACAACAAATTGCTAAACCAGCTTAAATTAATTTAAATATTTATTGATTTCCTGGTAAAAAATATCTCAGGTTTATTTATTGTTAATATTGAGTATAAGCAATGTTGGTGTTACAACTTTTACAGCTTGTGAAAAAGAGAAATTTTTAAACTGTTATACAAAAGCTAAGGGAATATCCTTTCTCCCTTACTTATATTCGTTTGCTCTCTTATTTACTGGCTCTCTTCCACTCTCTGCACCTCTGTTATCCTAGCTCTCTTGCGGAGAGCAATAGACTGTTACTTTGGCAGAGTCCTGTTCGGCGTTACATAACTGTCATGTGAAACTTGGCTAACAGTCGGTGGATAGCCGAAGGATAACCAATTATTGTCAAGGAGGCGAGTTCAAAGCCACTCCAAGGCAATTGTTTGCCCAGCGGCATTTATTTCCTTTTTTTTTTTTTTTAAACTCAAAAACATCGAACTTACCCTTAATTATGACCAAACAACAAAAATAAAGTAATGGGCGATAAGCGGGATGGAAAATCATGTACCAAACTGAAACTTGTTGAATCTGCCAGCAGCTTTTCCTGCAGGCAGATTTCACTTGGAAACTCAATATCTTTACTTGTCTATGCGAGTGTGTTTGCCAATGTTCGCCTGCCTGAGCGCCTAAAAAGCAGACATAATTAGTTTATGCCGAGATTTTTGCGTCTCTTATGGCGTAACACTTGGCAACACCGTCCGGAAAAAAGGAGCAGGGGCAGGAGAAAGGACATCTCATTTGCCCCATCTCTAAATGCATTAAGGCTCGGGCAAAGTGCAGCGTTCAGCGGCAGTACCTTTGACCCACTCGTATTATTAGCCCAGAGAATTATGCTGCAAAAATGAATTTATGACAAAACAAATAAGGACTTAAAGCACCTGAGACCTCAAATAATATTTCGAGTTTATATTTAGCTCTACATATACAGTTGGAAATAATTAAATAAACACATTTACTTTCTACAATACCTCCCAAATTAAAGGAATATTCTAAGATGAACAAAAAAATTGGATCCTGGGTACTGTCAAATAATAAAACATCACGTTTCGAAATCCTTAAGGTATGCTTAAAATGTTTAAGTTTGTTTAAAAAATTCTTTAAGTTCCCCAAAAACATGTAAATTTGCAATTTTGATTCAAACTTTTTTTGAAATGATGCTACAATTTTGGACCATTAAATTCCTTGGATAAAATTACTATTGTCTTAAATTCTACTATCACTTCTGTGATTGATATAGATATAGGCAAAATATAAGTTTTAGCTACAGTTGCTTTTGAAAAGAATATTTAAGTGAAATTTTAATGTTCAATGAATTTTTTTATTAGCATTATATTACTCTCTAAGACGTTATTTCTTAGGGGATTTGCGTTGTTTATTTATCTGCCGATGTTTGGGGCCATCGCTCGAAATCGTTATCAAATAGCCGACTCTCTGTTGCTCTCCACATCCCCAATTTCTTTTCTGGCCCTCTTAGGTCTTCTTTCTTTGTTTGTGTAGGTTGAAAAATCAAAATTTTACACTCGGCTACACATTTCCAAAGGCTACCGAAAGTTATGATTTTATGGCGGCACGGGAACAGGGACTACTTAGGCCATACATGTAAAAGTATCTGTACACTGGCAAAAACAAATAGCAAAGTTGGTCAGCACTTCGAAAATTTATATTTTATTGAAATCAGTAAATATTTACCAAAGTATACAATATTTTACAACCATATTTCGTTATGTATAGTTACTAATATACAATCACCAGAGATGGCTATGGCTCGTATATTGATTTTGAAGATCGTTTTGTTATAACTTCTTTTAAGAATATATGGAAAAATGTAGCACATAATGGTATACATTAAAGTACTAATCCTGAATTTGTAGAATGAATTGACTAAACAACAATTGTTTATTGAATATTTGGAATAAGGAATCTTAAAAAACATTCGAAATCCCTGAAATGAATTATATCCCAGCGTAATAATCCGTGATTCAAGACTTACAGATAGTATTTAAGAGACTCGAATATTTGTTCCCAGTGTATATTTTGATATTTGGTTATGTTTTTGTGTGTGTGTGCTTAAGTGCGTGTTTATGGCGCAATAAAACAGACCCTAACAGGCTCACACACAAAGCGCAGGGGGTGAATTTCAGAAGGGGACTGGGGTGCAACTTGGAGGGGGTGCCATGGGCGGCACGGAGGGGGGCTGGGGTCGGGGTTCGGTTGGTAAATGGAGGCTGCAGCCTGGAGCATACACATAAAGCAATCGCGCTGACTGTTCTTGCTGTTGCATGTTGCCAGAGCCAAATGAAGCAGCCAAAGCGAGACCCAAAAAACCAAAACTCAGGCCCAGACAGAGGCGAAGGAACCAGCACACTGAAAAAAATATAGTAAGCATAGCAATTATATGGGGGTGTTTTGAAAAACCTGGGTTGTAAATGGCTTCAAAATATATTAGTTTATACATTAAATATTCAAATCAAAGTTTAATAAGAACAGATTTTTTAAAAACCATTTCCGGCCGAAGGACTTCAGTTTCCAATGCCATTTTTCTTTCCATTAATTTTAGTACTGTATACAAGTTTTAATTTGACAAAATAAAAAAAAAATAAAAAAAACCATTTTAAATAAGGATTTTTTCCATGATCCAATCGGACAATATTCCATAATAATAATAATCAATACAATAATAATAATCAATACAATAATAAAAATCAATACAATAATAATAATCAATACATTATCAAACCAATCGAAATCAAATATTCTTGAGGCTTTTGTGTCATACCATTTATACAAATTAGTTTATATATATTTAAATAATATTTAAATAAAAGGGATTAATTTAGGTTTTAAATAAATGAATATATTTTTTTAAGTTTGTTAGTTTTTTAATAACCAAGTATTGAATATTGACAATGTCTTATGCAAAAAATGATATGGGCTTTGTTGTCTGGCTAATTGATTGTTGTAAGTTCAACTAAATATTTTTCAGTGCCACCCAGCCAGACGAATTGCTGGCCAAAAAGAGCAATCCAGAAGGGGAGGGTGAAGGGGAAGAAACGCAGAGAAAGGCGGAGAAAGGGGGCAAAGAGGAGAAAGAGCCGGAGACAGTCGGAGAGAGACAGTCAGCCAGCATCTTTCCGCTTGTCTGCGGCGCATTTATGACTTTCCCACTGAGGCGCTTGGCTTGCATAGCCTGCATTTAGGCGCACAGACATATGTCTTATCACAGACACACAGATGCCCACACAGATACTCACACAGATACACACGCACACACACACACACTCACACACACCACGACACACACACACATGGCTGGCTGCTGTCAAATGCCATACTAAACCGATAATCCAATCATAAGTTATAGTCAAATGAGTTTGCTCTTCAATAAATTTTCGCCTCTTTTTTCCCTTGATGTCTTCTTTCAGGGCCAAAATGAGTTTGCCCTCTTGCAAAAAGGACTTGCAGAGTCCTGGCTGCTGTTGCCAAAAATACTTTGTCTCGAGGAGCATCATTTGGGACGCTTCCACACGAACGCAGAAACCAATTAGGGACTCCAGGACCCAAAAATGGGAGGGATCGGGCTTACAGGTTCCAGGTGAGTGCCCTGCCACAGGAAGTTTTCGTTATTGGGGAGGTCCTTTGAACGCTTTCTCGATCCAATCGACGATTAGATTGGCCGAAATGTAGCGCCAGCAATATCCAGCCTTATCATTCAATTAACCAAATAGGTGAGCTTTGGGATCATATATTCTATTAATTTGTAAAAAATAAATCGTTTTTCATTTAAACAATCTCAAAAATGTATCAACTGCGGATGTTTAATTTAATGTAATCATTGCATTGCGAATTCCATACTTTTGAAAGCTGAATTTAAACTGATGCCACTAATGATGTTAAATATTGTTTGATCATTGGGCCAATCCTGGCCAGGAATTCGACCATAATTGGCCATCTTTTCTACCTGCACTCTTTGTGGAGTTTTATTGAAAAAGGCCAATAAGCCCATGGTCAGGGAAATATGCTGGAAAATACAGGACGTGCATATGCCGCGGATTGTTGCCTTTGTCATTGCCATTCAAAAGGATGTCCTTGCGCTCTCATATCCCAGTTTTCCACCGTTTTTTCCTCATTTCTAGCTTTCAGGGACTGCTGTTGCTACTACGTCGTTGGCTTTTATGCGTATGTGTAACAACTTTTAGAAAGGAGTAGCAACCGGAGCAACAGGAGGACCTTCTGCCATGCGAATTCCTACCATTCTCCCCATTTGCGCCTCATTCTTTGGTTCTTTCCGTTACATTTTTGGCCTAGCCCTCTAATGCACTGAGACAAGTTTTTTGCTAAATAGTTTGTTTTAATAATTGGTAGAA